GTGTTTTTTGAAAAAAAATTATTGTGTTTTTTTTAACTATCAATTCACTTAATTTGTGATTTGATTTTTAACTCACTGTGTTTTTTGAAAAATAAAATGGATTGTACTCATTAGGGTCACATAATATACCAATTATTGATAATGATTAGATTGTATTTCGACTAAAAAAAATTGTAATTGATCTTTTTAACTCACTATGTTTTTTGAAAATAAATTCTTGTGTTTTTTAATTATCAATTGACTTAATTTGTGATTGATTTTTTTAATTATTGATGATAATTAGATAGCAATAAAAAAATTGTGATTTGTATGATTGAAGTTATCTCATTTTGTTTATAATTTTATTTTTTAATATGATTGAAGTTAACTTACAAAAAGAAAAATGTGATTGTAGTTTGAAAAATGTGATTGTCGTTTGTTCAATACTACTAAATAATCTTTTTATTTACTATTTTAATAGTTCTTTTTTTCAATTATTTATTTATTATGAGAAAAATGTAATTGTAGTTAGATAGCATTAAAAAAATTGTGATTTGTATGATTGAAATTATCTCCTTTTGTTTATAATTTGATTTTTTTAATATGATTGAAGTTAGATAAACATAAACACTCACAAAAAGAAAAATGTGATTGTCGTTTGTTCAATACTACTAAATAATCTTTTTATTTACTATTTTAATGGTCCTTTTTTTAAATTATTATTTTTTTATTATGAAAAAAATGTGATTGTAGTTAGATAGCATTAAAAAAAATGTAATTTTTATGATTAAAGTTATCTCTTTTTGTTTATAATTTAATTTTTTAATATGATTGAAGTTAGATAAACATAAACACTCAAGGGGGTTTTTAAGGAAAATGGGGTTTTTAACCCCAAGTACTGTGGGAGCTTCAATATCCCAATCTGAATTTTCTAAATTTTTTATTAAAAAAAAAACTCAGCATTTACTGATTTGGTCAAAATCTCCTGATCAGCATTTATTAACTTTTTTTTCAATCCACATGCCTGTATTTATTGATTTGGTCAAAATCTCCCGATCAACATTTAAAATTTTCTCATACAAATAATTATAGATATAATCTGTGTATAGTTACTGCAGTACCTTTTTCAACTTTTCTCATATACTATGGTTAGTGATAAGATTGTTAAATTATTTTTATAAAAAATCTTAAAAAACATAATTTATATATTAAAAAAATGTAAAACAAATATAAGTATCTATAATTATCTCGTGCATAGCACGGGTGATAGGCTAATCTATACTATATATTAAGCAAAATGGGATTTTTAACCATAAGACTTGTGGGAGCTCCAATCTCCCAATCTAAATTTCCTGATTTTTTGATTAAAAAAAAAAAACCTTAACATTTATTAACTTCTCACAATCCCCAAGTCTTACCCTCATAATAATACTTTAATGCATTAAGTACAAGCATGAAAAAAATTCTTTGAAATTCAACACATATGAATTCCTTGAAAAGTCCCAACACATATAATTATTATCCTTCATAATAACACTTTAATGCATTAAGAACAAACATTAAAAAAAAAATCTTCAAAAGTCCAACACATATAATTATTATCAAAATATTAAACTTTAATATAATATAATAATAAAAAAAGATATTTAATTCCTTGAAAAGTCCAACACATATGATTATTATCAAAATATTAAATTTTAATATAATATAAAAAAGGAAAAAAAGAAGACATTAAAAAAAAAAAACATTTAAAAATCGCAATTCACATATATATAGATAATTGTAAATATATTGAGGAAAATGGGGTTTCTAAACCCCAAGCTTTGTGGGAGCTCTAATATCTCAATCTTAATTTTCTAAATTTTTGATTTAAAAAAAAAACTCAGCATTTATCGATTTGGTCAATATCCCATGATCAGCATTTATTAACTTTTTTCAATCCACATGGCTGCATTTATTGATTTGGTCAAAATACCTGATTAGCATTTAAAATCTCTTCATACAAATGATTATAGATGCAGCCCGTGCATAGTTACTGCAGTAACCTTTTTAATTTCTCCTGTACACTATTGTTAGTGATAAGATTGTTAAATTATTTTTATAAAAAATCTTAAAAAATATAATTTATATATTAAAAAAAAATTAAAACAAATATAAATATCTAAAATTATCCCGTGCATAGCACAAGTGATAGGCTAGTTATATATTAAGCAAAAGAGGGTTTTTAATCCCAAGCCTTGTGGAAGCTCCAATCTTCCAATCTAAATTTCTTGATTTTTTTTTTAAAAAAAAACCTTAACATTTATTAACTTCTCATAACCCCCAAGTTTTACCCTCGTAATAACACTTTAATCTATCTATACTATATATTAAGCAAAAAGGGGTTTTTGACCCCAAGCCTTGTGGGAGCTCCAATCTCCCAATCTAAATTTCTTGATTTTTTGATTTAAAAAAAAAAAACCTTATCATTTATTAACTTCTTCCAACTTCCAAGTCTTACCCTCATAATAACACTTTAATGCATTAAGAACAAGAATAATTTTTTTTTAAAATCTAACACATATAAATTTCTTGAAAAGTCTCAACATATATGATTATTATCCTTTATAATAACACTTTAATGCATTATTATTAAAATATTAAACTTTAATATAATATAATAATAAAAAAAAGACATTTAATTATTTTGAAAAGTCTAACACATATGATTATTATCAAAATATTAAACTTTAATATAATATAAAAAGTAAAAAAAGAAAGCATTTAAAAAAAAAGACATTTAAAAATCGCAATTCACATATATAGATAATTGTAAACATCCCAAGCCTTATAGGAGCTCCAATCTCACAACCTTAATTTTCTAAAATTTGTATTTTAAAAAAGAGTAATGCTAGAGACCCCAAATATTCTACCAAAAGTTTTACCAAATGTCTCAACATTTATTGATTTGGTCAAAGTCCCCTGACCAGCATTTATTAACTTTTTTCAATCTACATGTCTTTTCTCATGTCTGCATTTATTGATTTGATCAAAATTCCTGATTAGTATTAAAAATCCCCTCATACAAATAATTATAGATACAGTCCGTGCATAGTTACTGCAGTAACCTTTTTTTTTAAAAAAAAATTATTTAAAAAAAAAACTCAACATTTATTGATTTGGTCAAAATCGCATGATCAACATTTATAAACTTTTTTCAATCTACATGTCTTTTCACATGTCTGCATTTATTAATTTGATCAAAATCCCTGATCAATATTTAAAATTCCCTCATACAAATAATTATAGATACAACCCGTGTATAATTACTGCAGTAGCCTTTTTAATTTCTCATATATACTATGGTTAATGGTAAAATTGTTAAATTATTTTTATAAAAAATCTTTAAAAATATAATTTATATATTAAAAAAATTTAATAATAAATATAAATATTTATAATTATTCCGCACATAGCACTGCTAATAAGCTAGTTCAACCTAAAGAAGAAGACCTTTACTAGAGTAACAATGGGCTCCACAGCAAGGATTGTATAGTTTTGCAGGAGTGTAGGGCATGTCCAAAAATTTGACACTCCGAGTTAGTCAAATATTAAATAGATCATTTAATCATCAATGATGAAATTGAAAGCATAGTTTGAGAGTCTTTAACTAATAAAAATAATAAATTTTGGATCTCTCTTATTATATAAAATTTGAGAGGGGTGTTTCACTAATTTTTTTCTTTGTTAACTATAAAAAAATGAAGCTCTATAATGGTATCATAATTTCTGCTTGCTTTTGTGTTAATTTCAAGATGACTTATTGATATTCAGATTTAATTCAACCTATACAGTAACAATGGGCTCCACAGCAAGGATTGAATAGTTTTGCAACAGGAGTGTAGTGCATGTCCAAAAATTTGACACTCCACGAGTTAGTCAAATATCAATTAGATCATTTAATCATCAATGATGAAATTGAAAGCATAGTTTTCAGTTTTTTTGGTGCATCTTTTTAATTTTTTTTTTAATACTATTCCAGCTAGTGAAACGTAAAATTATGAATTAAAAAAAAAATGAAAGATAAAAGAAAATCGATAAAAAAAATACTAAAAAAGCCAACGACTCGTATCTATACAACTTGTTAATCATTGAAAGTATTTAAAATGTTCCAAAAAAATTACATGGTTTAACTTGTGGAGCTATTAGTTGGGTTGAATACAAAAAAAATATACCTTTTCTTTTCCCTTGGACTAGTGGTTACCCATTGCTTAAAGAAAGCATATCTCAATTCTTTGATTGAACGACGTTAATTGGTCAAGGAATATTTCAAAGACTATCCTTTTATTAGAATTTGTTTTCAAAATATATTTCATAGTATTTTTGTCTTTTGATTCTTTTTATCTTTAGCAAGTTTTAAATTTATTTTAGTCAATTCAAAAAAGAAGAAGATACAATTAGAGTTATTCACATAAATAGGGGTAAATTAAGCACATATAAAAAAAATAATAATAATTAAAATATTAAACAAATTCATAAAGACAAAAATGCAAAAATAAAAAATTTACAATTTTTGAAAACAAACAAACCATTATAATTTTAAAGTTCACAAAATTATTAATTTAAATAAAAGTAAAAATCATAATCACATCCACTAAAATAGCACCCATTTTTAAAATTAAATTACAATAATATTACAAATTCAGATTTAACTATAAAAAATTATTCAAAATTATTATATTCTGATTCAAATTTATTTTACACATAAATCTCACCCAATAAAAATTTAATCTCAAACACGCAACTATTATTCAGAATAAATTCGGCATACTAAAATGGGGTTCATAGCATTTTTGTTTTAATTAACCTATTATTCCAATGATTAACTCTCCCACTTGATCAACGGACAGAATGACTTAAACGCAATTGACTCATTTTTGTAAGCAGATCAAACGGTGCCGGTGAAATCCTGGATCGCAAAGTGTATCTCTTGTTATTTTACTCGTATATGCCGTCCATATTACATTTATACCCCCGCACCTTCTCTCAGCTCCGTCTCCTCCATCATATATATTACATATTTCTTCGATCGGTAGAACATCGAAGAAAAAAATTTAAAAAAGAAAAGAAAAAAAGAAGAAGAATAGAAAGCTCTGTGTTCATTGCTGTTCTCGTCTTGAAATTCTACGATTTCAAAGGTATACTCATTCTCTATCCTAAAGATCTCTGTTTCAATCGCTGTAATTACATATACACATATGAACTTGTATGTATATATGTACATTTATACATTGCTTATATTGATAAATTTTGTCTATTTAATGCGTGGCTGATTCAAATCTTTTGATTTCACACAATTTTGTCTAACGATTGTTGGAACGAGTTTTGAGCTCGTGCCTGATGTATCGGTTTGATTGACTATTCGTTTACGTGGTTAATTTTGAGCTGGTTTAGGGTTATTCATTCAATTTTTTTTTTTTTTTTTTTTTGAATCTATATTTAGTTTCATGCTCTGATTTTGTTTTATCCTTTTTATAAATAAGAAGAATGAGAAGCCTAGCTTTTGTTTGGTTGCTGAGAAAACTGAGGAAAGCGATATATAGAGAGAGGAAAAACAAAAAAAAAATGACATCTTTGTTCTATACTGATTTGGTAGTCAAAAGTTTACTACTTACGTCAAGCTAAGGCAAGGAGGGAGTGGAGTCATGAATTTGCTCTAGGGTATATCAGCATTTATGATTAAGAACAATTATGCTAGAACAATTAAACAAATATAGATATAGAAAGAAACTTTAGAACAAAACACATAAATTAGGAACAAAACAAAATATGCTTCGCAACACTGAGGAGTTCTTCCGATTTGAATTCCTAATACTGATATGTTGTTTGCGCTCTAATTAGGAATTTAGCGCCATTCATTTATTTGTGGATGGGTGGGAATTTGAACCCATATGTGTCTAATAACGTTCATGCATTAAAACCAAAGGAGATTTCAACATTGACAATTGGAAAGTAGTTATTGCAAAATATATGGGTTTTTGGATTATCGTCTACTTTTGAAGTTAATGACAAAACTCATTTTATGTCGAAAATAACTTTTTGAGGAAAACAAATCCAATGAGCATTTTGATAGAAAACATTATTGTTTGCTTGTTAACAGAAGTGAAATGGTGAAACTTCTTCAAGCATGAAATTAATAGGATCCTGTATAAAGGATGTAAACACATATATTTTGATTAAGCATTGGGTTTTGAATGATTCCTTACCCATTTCTTTGCATACGTTTGACAGATGGAAACTCAGCAACATGATGATGTTTCAAAAGTTAATGAACCCACCACAACTGGGCATGATAATTCTACTTTGAATCATTCTGATACAAATGTAAATTCTGAAAGGAGACCAGATGAGGTTGTCAGGAATCTGCAGAATGTCACCTATATTTATCGACAAGATGTTGTAAGGAGCAACTGTAGTGGTAGGATTGGGATTGTGACTGAAGTTGCAGGTGATTCGGACTCAGATAGTAGCATAACCGATGATGAAGATGAGGATGACGAAGAAGATGATGATGAGGCTGGTGGAAATGAGGAAGGTGGCAATGATGACAATGCTAATGGGAGTGATAGGAACAGAACTGCTGACAGTTACAAGAGCGGTCCTCTTCCCCCTGATCAGGTTCGAGTGATTTGGATGGATGAGTCCGAGACAACAATAAATCTTAGTGATGCAACAGTTATTGATAGGGGATTCTTACATGGGGATTTTGTTGCTGCTGCTTCAGACGCCACCGGTCAAGTGGGTGTTGTTGTTGATGCTAATATTTCGGTTGATCTATTAACTACTGATGGGTCTATTATAAAAGATGTTTCATCCAAAGACTTGAAACGAGTGAGGGATTTTACTGTGGGTGATTATGTAATACTTGGTCCCTGGCTAGGCAGAATTGATGATGTTCTAGATAATGTGACTGTGTTATTTGATGATGGCTCTGTGTGCAAGGTTATGAAAGTTGACCCACTGCGTCTTAAACCAGTTGGCAAGAATCTCCTGGAAGATGGCCATTTCCCTTACTATCCTGGGCAGCGTGTGAAGGCGAGCTCCTCATCAGTTTACAAAAATTCTAGGTGGCTATCTGGTTTGTGGAAACCTAACCGGTTGGAAGGCACAGTAAGCAAGGTAACAGTTGGGTCAGTTTTTATATATTGGATAGCATCTGCAGGGTATGGGCCTGATTCTTCTACTGCCCCTGCTGAAGAGCAGAGTCCCAAGGGCTTAAAGTTATTATCTTGCTTTGCACATGCAAATTGGCAATTAGGTGACTGGTGCCTTCTGCCATCTTTTGCACCATCTTCTTCCATTCTCCTGGACAAGGGTTTATCAAATCCAGAACTTTACGATTCCACAAAAGGGGTATTAGATTCTGCTCAAATGGTACCTGAATGTGATTCAGAAGTGGTTGATGTGGACAATGATGTGGAAAATGCATTGGAAGGAACCACTGAAAATGTAGATGGTAATGCATCGCGAGAATCCAGTTCGTGCAGTAGTTCATTGTCAGTTTCAAAGGAGCCTGTCCATGAAACTTGGCCTCATCATCGCAAAAAGATTAGAAAAGTTGTGGTTAGGAGAGACAAGAAGGCTCGGAAGAAAGAGGAAAATTTTGAAAGAGCTCTTATGATTGTCAATATGAAGACAAGGGTTGATGTAGCATGGCAGGATGGAACAACAGGATATAATTTGGATTCAACAACTTTGATTCCTATTGATAGTCCTGGCGATCATGAATTTGTAGCAGAACAGTATGTAGTTGAGAAAGCCACGGATGACAGCAATAATGGTTGTGAAGTTAGACGTGTGGGGGTTGTAACAAGTGTTAATGCAAAAGAGCGGACAGCTTGTGTGAGGTGGTTAAAGCCAGTTTCTAGGCCAGAAGAATCTAGAGAGTTCGATAAGGAGGAAGTGGTGAGTGTTTATGAGCTTGAGGGTCACCCTGACTATGACTACTGTTATGGGGATGTAGTTGTTCGGTTATCACCTGTTTCTCCTGCTTTTGGAGACTCTGTTGAGGAAGCAAAGAAGCTGATTAGTCCAAATGAGGTTAAAGAAGATCCAAAAAAGAGCTTGGGATGTAAGAAAGATGAGGGTGCATCCGCCAATGAAGCTTGCATGGACTTCTCAGATCTTTCTTGGGTTGGGAACATTACTGGTCTAAAAAATGGTGATATTGAAGTTACATGGGCTGATGGGGTGGTTTCAACGGTATGTTCATTACCAAAGACTAGTAAAATATTAGTGGCTTAACCCGTATGGATAGCCTAGCAGCAAAGGGGTTAGACCCTGGGACCTGTAAATCTGGACATCCTGGGTTCAACTCTTGCTAGTGTCTCCCAGGCTTAATCGACCCTTGGGATGAACTGCAAACTCGGGCATCCTAAGTTTGACTCTCGCTAGTGTCTACCAGGCTTAACTGATACCTGTGGTGTGTGGTTGATTGTAGGTATCCAGGGTTTACTCTATAAGGGTGGGTCCAATGTGGCCCTACCTTGGGGAGGTTCCTTGTCATAAATATATATATAAACTGCTCTATGTTTCATAAAGGATGTCCCATGTTCCCGTTAATCCCAGTTTACGAGTGTGCTTAACTAGTTGGCCTTTGCATCTATGATATAATAGAAACTTGTTTCCCTATTACCTACTATTCCCTCTTAAATTGACTAACTTAAAATGATAAAAGACTGCTGGGCCTTTAATTTGATTGCTCAAGAGCATACCACCTTGGGTGATTGTATGACTTTTGTGTTTAGTTTATGACTTTTACAAACTAATAATCTGCTGGGTGCTCAGAGGATGGGAGGAAAGGAAAGCTCAAAATCTCATGACTTTTATGTATGAAACAGCAATTGTCAGATTTTTGATATTCCTTTTCTTTTCTTCTAAATTCTCAGATGTTAAATCTAAATAGAAAATGAAGGTTTTTGTATTCAGTTCATCTGCATATTTGCTCATATAATAATTATTAATTCTTCTTGTAAGGGAGTTGCCACAGTTCTTGATTGAAAGGGTCTGGTGTTTGGTACTAGGTTGGCCCTCAAGCGATTTATGTTGTTGGTCGTGATGATGATGAGTCAATTGCTGCTGGAAGTGATGTTAGTGATGATGCTGCTAGCTGGGAAACTGTTGATGATGATGAGATGGATGCCCTTGAGAATGAAAACAAGGTTCGTTTTTATCTTTAAGGCTATGTTTGGATGACAGAAATCTTGAGGGAGAATCTGCATGTCATTAGTAATTACTAGTAATAAAATTCTTGTGTCAATGTTATTCATGTGTTTGGTTTTGTTAGGAATCATCTATGGAAAAGTGAAAAAATATTACGTATTGTGGGCCCAATTATTATTTGTTATTCTTAAATGGCTAAAATTCCTCTAGGAATGTTATTTATCAAAAAAAATATAAATTCCAAGAGGAATGTAAGATTTTCATGGGGAAGTGGGAAATTAGATTTCTACTTAGTTTGGGAATGTGATTCCTACTAAAATAGATTACCAGGAATCACTTTCCTATTCCAATCCATTCCAGACGCAGGAATCATGGGGACCCAAAATTGCATTCCCATTCTCCCCAAGAGTACTGTCATACAAACTTAGCCTAACAATGTTCTGAGGTCCTTCATTTAATACTTTTACCTGTAACTAATAACCCTTGGCCTCATAATTTGGTAGTGGTGTAGTGGGTTGTGGATATTAGTGGTGTTTATCACGGTTAAACTTATGAACAAAAGGGAAATTAAAAAGAAAAGGGAAATTATTTTTCTGTAAGAGGAAGTAGTGCTATATGGTGTTTCCTAGGTACCATTGATGCTGTCCTTTTTGGGATATCTGGATCAGGATTTATAGAAAATTTTCCTGCAGCATTTTGTACTGGTGGCTTGTCTCCTGACTTAGATATAATGAAACAGTTGATCATGGTTATACAACAATATGAGATTTGTATCACGTGCTAGGTGGTCATCAAGTTTGGAGACATTTTATTCAGGGTTGCCTTGAATGTAGGACAACCAAGTTATTGACTGGCTATTCTGTTGGTGGACCATGCTCATAATTCTGTTGGCGGACCATGCTCATAATTTGTTAATCTGGTCAAGTGAATCATTGATGTTCTTTAATCAGGAAATTCGGCTGCAAAATGCTACTGACATCAGCCCCAAGTCAGAGGATAGCACAATGATTGGAGAAAATTCTGGAAGAAACGGACCGCTTTCTATTCCCCTTGCTGCACTTGGCTTTGTTACCCGACTGGCCAGTGGAATATTTTCACGGGGAACAAAACACTCGGATCCATTTGGTTTGGACTCCACAGGAGAAAATGAACCTCAATCTCAGGGAATGGAAAACATTTCCATCAGAGGTGATTCTGGTGATGAATCTAGCTCTCGGAAATCTAATTGCACTGATAATTGTGGTGTGGGAACTACTCATGGAAAAGGAGATGAGCATGTTGTTGAAGACAACATAGATTTATTAGACATAGCAGAAGCTCTTTGCAGCTTGAAGCCTGAGGCACAGTATCTTTCTTCATGCCATGGGGATAATGTTTCCAGTTTCAAAGGCTTTGATATTGCAAAAGAGCCTGGGGACCATTATTTTCTTGGTGCAAATGGACAGGTAAATCATATATTTTTCTTTTCTTGATAGTTTCGTTTTGTGAGCTGCCTAATTGTATCATTGTTGCAAAAATTATTCTTCCATTCATACAAACATATCATGCCGCTGCAGTAGACTCCCCTTGTTCAGTACATTCTGGCAGATGTACATCTTATAACTTCTGTGAGTAAGAAGATCATCAGGTCTTTGTCTGTCTAGTTTTCACTTCTGAAATTGGCTGTGACCTACCAATTTTTGTTTGCGTTAATTTTTATTTTTATTTTTTTAAAAAAAGAATTTGGGTTACTGGTTAGTGTTAAGTTGGTTCCATAATAGAGACGCAGAATTGGCTCTAGGTTTCTAAGGGGCCTCTAACTGGGCAGATAGTTTTCCATACTCAAAATTATTTGGGAGGAACATGCTGTCAAAATTAGGTCCATGTCACTTTGTTGCACTTGTGGTTTTGTGAATGATTGACTCTTAATTCATTAACTACATTTTCAGAATAATGCTGGAAGGAAATGGCTGAAGAAGGTTCAACAAGACTGGAGTATCCTTCAGAATAACCTACCCGGTATGCATTTTGTCGGATATCTAAAACTCGGTTAATCATGCCCAACATCAGCTGCTTATGGTTTAACCAGTTTTAAATACTTGAACAGATGGGATTTATGTACGAGTTTATGAAGATCGAATGGATCTCTTGAGGGCGGTGATAGTTGGAGCATATGGGACACCTTACCAGGATGGCCTTTTTTTCTTTGATTTTCATCTTCCGCCAGAGTACCCTGATGTTCCACCGGTACACAAAATTGATAATGTTTATATGTATATATATTTATTTATTTGTGAAGAAATTGGTCTAATTTTAAAAACTAAAAATCTAGCCCTATTTGGACAAATTTGCATGGATAGCTAGACAAGAGACCAGCCCGCAAATGTGGGGGATCTACTGGGGCTCCTTCATGTCGGGCTTGAGCTGTAGATTACCCCAGCCCCACCGAGGGCATTGTGGGAGTTTTGTCTTCTGGTTGGCTTCTTGTTACCTAGCTCTTTTGGATTGTATGTTAGAAACATCCTATTTAAAATAGGCTTTAGCTTATTTGTAATTGATGTTTTTTCATGCTTTCCTTCTTTATCTTGTAATGTTTTATTTTTTTAATAAAATATTACCCTTTTGCTGATATAAAAAAAGAAAAGAAAAAAAGAAGCCGGTGGTCACAAGATTATGAATCTTAAGAGTTGTTTGAGATGTTCTAAATAAATGCACTTTTTGACTTTTATGAAATATGGGTTGAGTTTGAAATGATGTGGTAAAGAGGTGATGTGACTGAAATAGGATAGTGATTTTTTGGCTTTTTTAGAGGATGACAAACAAGGCCTTAACCCTTGTCTTCTTGTCAACCAAATCACATGGGAGTGAAACTTCAGCACTAGGTCACCACCCTCTGGTGGTTGCATGAACCTTACTGAATTGAAGATAAAAAGGATTATGTTTTCATTTTCGATTCTTCCTGTGATTTTGCAGTCAGCATACTATCATTCTGGAGGGTGGCGAATTAACCCAAATTTGTACGAGGAAGGCAAGGTTTGCCTTAGTCTTTTAAATACCTGGACTGGCAGAGGAAATGAAGTCTGGGATCCTTTGTCCTCAAGCATCCTTCAAGTCCTGGTTTCACTGCAGGGGCTAGTACTAAACTCTAAGCCATATTTTAATGAAGCTGGATATGATAAGCAAATCGGGACAGCTGAAGGAGAGAAAAATTCGTTGTCCTACAATGAGAATACATTCTTGCTGAACTGCAAGACAATGATGTATCTTATGCGAAAGCCCCCAAAGGTGATAAAACCATATTCAGCATTTTAATTGTTTCTCATTTTAACCTTGCCATTTTTGCTCTTGTTGTCATCAGAATAATCACTCTTAAGATGAAAAACTAACCCCCCCCCCCCCAAAAAAAAAAACCAAAATAATAATAATAATAATAATTCTAAATAAATAAATAAAGAATCATCACTCTCATGTAGTCTTTGCAATCATTCATGATGGTTATGGGTTATGAGCACTTATTCCTAGATATTCTTTTTCTTTTTCTTTTATTATGCATATTTGATATAAGCTATTTTTACTTCAATACCTTGCTAGTTGCTATGATTGGATCTTTCTGTATGTGTTATAAATGAAAAGTAAAATAAGCTTACTTTTTACTCAATAAAGCCTTGAAGTTCAGGTACTTGGTCTGAGCTTCACAATTTCTTTCTTACTACAAGCTCTAGTTATAACCATTTATCCTTTAGTACATCATGTGCCACCTCATTCTATGTTCACGTATTTGGGACCATCTGCAATGAGTTTTATGCATTTGTTTTCATATGTACAACCTGTGTTCTTCCATGAGTGCATTTATCTTCATTCTCTTTAATTTTGTTGTCACTCATCCATTGCACTATTTTTTTGTAATGATTAAAAGTTAAAAGCATTGTTTCTTGATTGTTGTCCAACATTCTATACGGTAAAGCAAAGGTTGGGTTATGGTCCTTTAATGATATGTTTGTTCTACTTGACAAGTATTTCACTCTAGAATCATTCCCTGCTTCATTTATCAAGGTTTAATACCCATAACATCTTGCTCAAATTCTCGTTCCTTAGGGAGTCTTGCTAGTTAAGTACCTCTAGTTCTATTGACCTTACATTTTCTTTTTTTCATCTCACTGGGCTGTGTGACGTGAAAAATCATTTACAGTTCTAGACAGTGGCAGTTAAAACGGCTTACTCTTTAACTTGTCTTCTTCTTCCTTCCTTTTTTTTTTTTTTTTTAATTTATTTATTTTTAATTTTTTAATGTGAAATTTGATACTATCATTAACATAGAAGTTCCTTGTTTGGGAGTTTTTTTTTTCATCTTGAGGATGCTGCTGACTATGCTTTTAGAACTTAGAACTTTTAATTTGTAATCATGTTAATGATATCTCTCTAGGACTTTGAAGAGCTTGTCAGAGACCATTTCAGGAGGCGAGGTTATTACATCCTCAAGGCCTGTGATGCTTACATGAAAGGCTACTTAATTGGTTCTCTGACAAAGGATGCCTCTATAAGCGACAAAAGCAATGCAAATGCAAATTCAGTAGGTTTCAAGCTAATGTTGGCTAAGATCATGCCGAAACTTTTCTTGGCGCTTAATGAAGTTGGAGCCGATTGTCACCCATTTAAGCATCTACAACAGTAGTCATAGCACCAGTCCTCAAAAGGCCAATCTCGCAGTATCTTCATCGTGCAAAAGAGGTCTGCCTTCATGATTTTATGCTCTTTTTAAAAAAAAAAATCATTTCTAATACTCCAATGTAAAAAACTTTAGATGCTTTAGGATTGTTTCAAAACATTCTTTTGTCATGTTTGAAAGCTTGGCAGCCCGAACTTTTTGGAGCAAAGTTGAAGGGTCTACTGACTGGCTGTGTGTCAGCCAATGTGAAAAATTTCATCAGTCAAGACAACAAATTGGGGAATGATTAAAAGGCTCCTGAATTTGCCTTCGCTTGTTGTGTTTACACATTTTTTTATTTTTTTACTTTTATTTTTATAAATATTTTCCTCTCCCTCTACGGGTTGAGGAGGCAGAAGGGGTTTTGCATTGACTGTCCAATTTATTCAGCAATGAAGAATAAAATTTGTTGTCGGACGTTCTAGTTTCTCTATTATGGCATTTTGTTGTATGTTCATATAAATTGTTTTGGGACCTCTATGCTTGGTTTGCTGTTAAAATTTATTAGAGACGCTCCAAGAGTGAAGAAACATATTGATTCCAAAATATTCCTGACATCAATATGTTTATGTGAAACAAATTGTAAAAAATAAACTTTTTACAAAAGAGATCTGAACTATTTGTATTGTATATTTACATTTTTTCTTCTGAATTTACATTTGCTATGTAACTTTTCTTCTGTCAAAGTAAGGTTGGAAAGGAGAGATCAAACTCGGATGCATTGAATTTTTTTAGATTCATTGAATTAAGTAGGTTATATTATAGAAATTTGTTTTCTTATGAACGATTTTGAGTGCATTACCCTTATTTATGTATGGTGAAATCATTAGGAGACGTAGAGACAAGATTTTATCCAGGGGAATTTGGCCAAAATTCATTCATAATAAAATTTTAATACATTAAGGACAAGTACAAAAAATTTTCTTTGAAAAGTCAACACATATCATTATTATTAAAATATTAAATTTTAAAACAATATAACTTTGGGTAAATTACACTCACCTCCCCTAAAGTTTTTGACAAATACAAGACCTCTCTTGTGGTTTGAATAATTACAGAAATTTTTCCTATTTTAACTGACAATATTAAGATTTTCTCTTTCCATCAGATTGCAATAAACAACGTTACTTGCATAAATTAAATGAACATATTCCTCCTGCATTTGAGGGCAAAAAGATGAAAATACCCTTTGTTCCAACAGAGTCATCTTCCTCAGAGCTTGAGTTATGAAACAGAAAGTGAGAGATGACCTTGAAGATGTCCCACTTGGGAAAGCCATGATGGAATTAATTTTTTTAACCAAAATAAGCAAGACCCAGATGATAAAAAGCACTAATTTAGATATATAGATGTAGAGATTTATATATAGTAATATATATATATATATATAGATGTAGAGATTTATACATCTATAACAAAGAGTTCGGTAAGTATTTGAGACTAACGAATAAAGAATAGGGTTATTTTCTTTTCATTTCTTCTTTTTTTTTAAATTTTTTTTTCTTTTCTTTTGATTTCATCCTCTGCGATATCTCATGGCTGAAACAAAAGATTTTGTACTCCACTTCTTTTATTTTTTGACCTTTGCTACAACAATAGCAAACCCATAACAATTTTTATATATACCTTATTTTACAAAAATTGTCATAAAATTAACAATTACAAACTCATAACAATCTTTACAGATACCATGTTTATGAAAATAACGGTAAAATTAACAATTAAATATTACCTTTATGGTTATATATATATGTAACTGAGATAAATTAAATAATTTTAATCAAATATAACGTACATAGATACATATATATATATGTTGCATATATACTGTACGAGCACGAAATAATTCTTCTCGTATGATCCTGTTGATCAAGTTTGCACTCCTCCAAACAACGTTGTTTTGCCACCTGAAAACACAAACGTGAGCTAACCGGCAGGTGTGTGCCGAAAATCCCTCTGATGCCTAAGTCAGCAACTAGACAATAGACAACAAGCTCTGTGTATTCTAGAGTGAGAATTGGGATTGTGATTGTGATACCTGTCCATAGGTCTGGTCATGAGCTTTTATAGACTCTACTTGGCACATTCCTAGTAGAATTCCAACTCTCCCTATGAGAGTCCTCCTAGGAATCACATACCCTACTCACTACCAACCAAGTGAGATGGTTTTGCACAATCCTAGTTGGACTCTACTCTCCTTAGCATAGTCCTCTTAGGAGTCACACTCCTACTCATTACCAACCAAGTGAGATGGTTTGCACAATCCCAGTAGGATTCTAACTCTCCTTAGCAGAGTCCTACTAGGAGTCTTATCACTGCAAGCCAAGTGAGATAGCTGAACCCTTTACCTCGGTTTATACATTCCTGACCGAACTGACTTATCTCGGTCTCCTGCCATTTAGACCGTTTGATCGGAAGCCGATCTAATGAATGCCACCCTGCCGAGCTACACATAGCTCGGCCCTCGTCATTGATGTTACCTCGGCTCTGTGCTCAACATGGGCGAGTCGTGATGACCATGCTATAGGTTGGTATCCTGCCGAGCTACACTTAGTTCGGCCCATCGCCTTGCCATCATCCCGGTCAGAAGGTAAATAGGTCCCAATCCCAGCAACACATCCAACCGTCCTGGTACCTACCTCGGTCCAAAGCCGAAATACAAAATATCTCCTTGGCCCATTATGCGGCCCAATTTCCAAAGAAGACTCGCCCTAGCTCGGCCTAATTTGCTCATAAATTACCTTCTCAATTACAAATTAAATAATACTTGAGGGTTAGATTAAAGAATAGGAGCTTTTGATCTTTGCAATTTCCATTGATTCAACTATTTTCTGTTTTTGAGCATAGGCGGTGGTGCAGCAAAGGCAACCGAATCGAACAACGCCGCCGTCGCAAGCAACGGTGGTAGTGGTGGTGGTGATGTGACTATCCACATTCGATGCTCTAACTGCCAAAGTTCTCAGTGCAGATTAGCCTTCACTCCACCGTTGGGTCCTTCAAGTCCGTCATCGCCCATAACTGCGACATCCCTGTTAAGCAACAACGCCTCGATGACGACGACGGAGAAGAAGCCTTCTTAGAAGTTTCCGCCGCCGTATTGGACCCAAGAGGAAACCCATTTTGAAAGAACTCGGAAGCCTCTCAAATGGTGCGGTCGCCGGAGTAGCTGCAGATTCAACTTTCTTTGTTTCTTCTTCTCCCATTATTATATGTATATATATACTTATGTATATGTGCTAAAATGAGCAGTATCCAAAAAGAACTCAGAGGCAAAAATAGATGGAAGAGAGAAAGAGAGAGACCCGAATCAGAAACTTGAGGGCATTATAGGAATTTCAGTTTTTATCCTTGATAACATCAGCAACTTCTGTTAGTTGCATGAACAGCAGTCAAAAAATGGGAAAATCTTGATATTGTCAGTTAAAATAGGGGAGGTTTCTGTAATTATTCAAACCACATGGGAGGTTCCTGTATTTGTCAGAAACCTTAGGAGAGGTGAGTGTAATTTACCCTAAAACTTTTGATGTAGATGTTAGGTTTTTAATAAAATTAGTATTTTTAAAATTCTCTCATCAAGATCTATTCAAAAAGATTTATGTTGAAATTCTTAAAAAACAAAAAAAATTATGACTGTCAAAATTAATGTAAACAGTAACATATTACTCTATTTGACAGTAACATGTTACTTTGTCTCACAGTAATATGTTGCTCTGTTTGACCTTAACATGTTGCTCTATTTGACAGTAACATATTACTCCGTCTCACAGTAACATGTTACTCTATTTCACAGTAACATATTATTTTAGCAATATTGTCCAAGAAAAAAGAAAGAAAGAATATATTTTACTTTATCCTTATTCAATTATGTGTTTTCTCCTTAGGAGTTTATAAAGCAAAATGAATTGGACTGTCATTTTCACCAAACAAGGGTCCAATGGAAAGATTTTGGCTAAATTTCCCTTTTATTCATTAGCTTCCTTTTTATGTTTTTGTCATATGATAAGGTATTAAGAGATTAGTTAGTTAGATTGTAACAAAAGAATTATAGTCGTTCTATCGAATTCAAACCTTGAACCTTGAATCTTTGACTCTCACTGTCTCAAGGGATAGCTACATGGAGCAACTATTGCACGTTGATTGAATTATTAAATAATAAAGGGTAAATTACACTTACCTCCCTTGAGATTTCTGACAAATACAGAGACTTTTCCTCTAGTTTCAATAATTACAGAAACCTTCCATACTTTATCTGATAATATCAAGATTCCCTTATTTTTTGACTTTCGTTTGCACAACTAACAGAAGCTGCTGATGTCATTAAAAATAAATACTAAAATATTTATAATGCCCTCAAATATCTTGAACCCATCTATATATATACCAAACTGTAGACCTTACAACACCTAATCCAATCTCGTTAAGTTTTATCCCTTTCCTTTGCTTTCTCTGCAAAAAAAATCTCATAACTATCACTGCTGTAAAAGCAGCAACACAACACCCATAACATGGCCATTATTATTATTAGCCTAACTACGCCACCAGTCAACCTGCAAGCTCTACCCAGCTTTGCCACCCCCAAACCACCACTACCACTGCACACACTCACCACTGAAACACCTTCCAATTTAAAAAAAGAAAAGAAAAGAAAAGAAAAGAAGCACCACCACTACAAAGACCCACCTCTTAATCTCATCACCAACCAAAAACAAAAAACTGAATAAGTGAACATGTAAATATTCATACTCAATTGAAGCCTTAATCCACAATTACTCGGGTGAGAAGTTGGATAGCCACCATCAACAACACCTCCCCAAAAAATTAGTGCAAAATCAAACCCAACAGAAATCAAAATCAAACCGTAGCCATTATCACCCAAAGAAAATAAGGTATTGGATTATAGTGCAAAAATTGGGTCTCTCTGAATCCACCATGCCTTCCAGCTTCCTCCTCTCGTCCTCCTTATTTCTTTCTCTAGTCGTTCATCTCCATTCTCTCCTCATTTTCTTTCTTCTCTTCTTCTTCTTTTCTCGATCGCGACCTAGATCACAACCAATCGCCACAAACCCAGAATGCGACCCAACGCTGCTGCCATCACTGCCTACCATCGCTCTGAAAACTATAGATCTAGGGTTAAGTTTTTAGAAGAAGAAGAGGAGGAGAGGAAAAGTGAGTGGCAAACAGCGGAGGAGAGGGAGTGGAGGAAGATTTGTGGGTAGAGGGGGAAATAGAGGGAGGCGGTGGTGTGTCCTTGATGAAGACCTTCGTTTCGGTTTCGATGTCGGAGGATAGGAGTGGAGGAGTGGCAAGGGAAAGGTTGTCGTCGTCAGAGAAGTTGATGTCGATATCCCATAGGGGTCGGTTGTTGCCGGACAGGTCTTCGGGGAGCCAGGCAGACTCTCATGTTTTGTTCCACTCATCACCGCCGCTCTTGCC